CTGCCAAAGCAGAGCCTCCAGCAGCTGCTTGCTTCCACAATCCAAAATCACGGCTATGCCCCCGGCCTGACTCCACCATCTCAGGACAGATCTCACCAAGATATAATCTGCTGGAAATCTGGGTATGCGGGTTTTGTGACTGAACTCCCCAGGCTTTCACAGAGCTGGTTACCTCCCCCAACTTTCCAATACAGATGGAAGCACTTGCAGTTACCCCCAAGAACCAACTCCAGCCCACCCTGTAAACTCTATTACTGGCCTTGCTTCAGAGACCCATAAATAAATCTCAAAAGAGGTCAAAAGCCAGAAACACAGCAGCGAGTCCTAGAAGACACCACAGAACTGGAGATCTCTCTGGGCCCCATACCAAGTCAATTTTACTGGGACACCCCAGATAGAGCAGGTGCACTCTCCCCACCTACTCAGATGGAATCCCAGTGACCAAGAGCTTCCACAAGTAAGACCCAGGTATGCGGGTTCCAGGAGTAAATTTTCATGCCGCAGGGCAGCAGAGGTGCCGGGCTGTCCCTCCCCTGCTCCCCACCAGCTCATCGGCCTGGCTGTCACCCCCACAATGTGCCTCTGGGCACCATCTTTGCACACCAACAGCCCTGATCCAGAGACACAGCAACAAGTCCTGATAGACACCACAGAGCCAGAGATTTCTGGGGACCCATACCGAGCCAATTTCACCAGGGCACCCCAGATGGAGCAGGTGCACTCTCCTCATATACTCCAAATAGACACGTATTCCAGATAGAATCCCAGTGACCAAGAGCTTTCACAAACAAGGCCCAGGTATGTGGGTTCCATGACTAAATCTCCATGCCACATGGTAGCAGAGGCACCAGGCTGTCCCTCCCTGGCTCCTTGCCCCCTCGTCAGCCTGGCTGTCACCCCCACAATGTGCCTCTGGGCACCATCTTAGCACACCAACAGCCCCAATCCAGAGATGCCCAATTGAATCCCAAAATGGATTAGTGCCCTACAGAAATGTCTCTGGAACCAAACCATTTACAATCTAGGATTCCAGAAGTCCGTAGAACCCAAGATATTCAAAATGAGCAATTGACAATAAATGATCAAGCATCTGCCCCTGGCAGGCAGGCTTGAATGGTGGTGGGAAAATTCGAACAAAACATAATGCCCAAAGTAGAGAGAGAGTATTGAGGAAACTAACTGCCTGCCATGGAGGTAGGGTGAGGACTGGGATGGGGGAGGGGCCGGGGAGGGGTATATACGGGGGACATTGGTGGTGGAAAGTGCATTGGTGGAGGGATGAATGTTTTATCATTGTATGGCTGAATTTCAAACATGAAAGTTTTGTAACTGTATCTCAGGATGATTCAATTAAAAAACAAAGTAATATGGAGGTTATGCCAGTTTCAATCAGTTTTATGACTGAATAAAAAGCAGTACTTCTACATTAAAAAAAGAGGAAGAAGAAATTCAAATGTCACATGAAAAAATGCCCCACATCATTAATCATCAGGGAGATGCAAATCAAAAGAACAATGAGATATCATCTCACACCACAGAGACTGGCGCACATTAAGAAGAACAAGAACTACTGGGAGAGGGGCTGGAGCAATAGCACAGCGGGTAGGGCATTTGCCTTGCACGCAGCCAACATGGCCAACACAGGTTCGATTCCCAGCACCCCATATGGTCCCCGAGCACCGCCAGGAGTGATTTCTGAGTGCGTGAGCCAGGAGTAACCCCTGAGCATCGCTGGGTGTGACCCCCCCCCAAAAAAAAAAAAGAACTACTGGGAGAAGGAACTCTCATTCATTGTTGGTGGGAATGACAGACTTTTTAAAAAACAATATGGGCATTTCTCATAAAACTAGAAACAGAGCTTCCATATGACCCAGCAATACCACTTCTGGGAATATACGCTGGGGATGCAAAAAACACATTGTAGTAAAAAAAACATCTGCACTTCCATGTTCACTGCAGCACTGTTCACAATAGCCCGAATCTGAAAACAACCCAAGTACCCGAGAATAGATGACTGGATAAAGAAACTATAGTACATCTACCCAATGGAATACTACACAGCCACCGGGAAAAATGAAGTCAATTAAATTTGCTTAGAAATGAATGGACATGAAAAGTATCATTCTGAGTGAAATGAGTCAGAGTAGAGAGACAAATATAGAAAGATTTCACTCATTTGTGGGATATAAAGAAACAGGATTGGTCCGTGGTTGGAAGTCTACCTCAAGTGCTGGGGGGAGAAGGCAACTGGGATAAAGAAGGTACCACTATGACAAAGATAATTGGAAATTATCACTCTGGATAATAACTATATAATGAAAGTTGGTAAAGGAGCAAACAAAGATACTGAATAACCTCTCAGTACCTTTATTGCGAACCATAATGCCCAAAAGGGGAGGGAGGGAGGGAGGGAGGGAAAGAGAGAGAGAGAGAGAGAGAGAGAGAGAGAGAGAGAGAGAGAAGTGCCTGCATCAGGCTTTGGGGCGGGGAAGGGAGATGAGAGGGAAACTGGGGACAGTAAAGGTGAGAAATGTATATTGGTGGGGCCAGAGTAATAGTACAGTGAGTAGGGTGTTTGCCTTGCATGCAGCCAACCAGAGTTCAATCTCCAGCATCCCATATGGTCTCCGAGTACCACCAGGAATAATTTCTGAGTGCAGAGCCAGGAATAAACCCTGAACATCGCCCAGGTGTGGCCCAAAAAGGAAAAAGAAAAAAAAGAAAAAGAAAAAGAAATGTACACTGGTGGAGGGATGGTTGTTGGGACATTGTAGGACTGAAACCCAATCATGAACAGCTTTGTAACTGTATCTCATGATGATTCAATTTTTAAAACTTTTTTTTAAAAAAAGGTGGGGGTTTATGTGCTTGTCTTGCATATGTATCTGGCCTCTGTTCAAATCTGCATATGGTCCACCCCAAACATGCCAGGAGTGATACCTGAACATGAAATCAATAGTTAAAACCCAAGCACAGCTGATTGTGGCCCCCAAACACAAACACCCCAAATAAATTTTAAAATATTTAATGTTTGTTCTTAATATTAAATAAGAATAATATATTATCTAATGATCGTAATAATTTTTTTGGTTTGTTTTGGGTCACACCCGGCGATGCAGAGGGGTTACTCCTGGCTTTGCACTCAGGAATTACTCCTGGCAGTGCTCAGGGGACCATATGGGATGCTGGGAATCGAACCCGGGTCGGCCACATGCAAGGCAAATGCCCTACCTGCTATACTATCACTCCAGCCCTGATTATAATAATGTTAAGTCACATATCCATGAACAAATGAGCTACCATGTGAAGATAATGTATTTAAATTCAAACCAAGAGTTAAACTCTAGTGTATCTTATGCCTTATACACTTAATCAAAATACATTTTGAAATTATACAAATATCAATGAGTAAATAATTTTTTTATTTTATACTAAGTTAAACTAAGTATGTTCTCCTTCCCCTTTGGGTTTTTTTGGGTTTTAACCAGTGGCACTTGAGGGTTGTTCTGGTGGGACTTGGGAGATCACTGCAGTGCTGGTCATCAAAAATAGGTCTCCGAACAGCTTACAGAATTCACTGTCTTGAAACCAGTTTTGCAAGAAGCAGTAAAGGAGTTTTTTTAAAGACAAGACAAAATTTCTAGCACTTTGCCATTTAGTACGGCATTTATTCATGGTGCTTATGGTTGCCCCTACTAGATTAAGAAAGGATTTAATCTGTTGCTAGCTTGCTAATAGTTTTATACTTTTTCAACAATGAATTAATGGTTCATTTATACTGAATGTTCTTTCTATGTCTACTCAGATGGCTTCTTTACATCTATTAAAATATTTTTTTTCTTTTGGGCTGGAGCGATAGCACAGCGGGTAGGGTGTTTGCCTTGCAAGCAGCTAAGCCAGGTTAGATTCCCAGCATCCCATATGGTCCCCTGAGCACTGCCAGGAGTAATTCCTGAGTAGCATGAGCCAGGAGTAACCCCCGTGCATCGCCGGGTTTGACCCAAAAAGCAAAAAAATTTTACTAATACAGATATCTAAGCATTACCTATAATATAATGCCTTTTAACATATCAATATTCTTTTTAGGATAAAGCAAACTTTTATTGGTCATTATACCCTCATTTTTAAAAACTCCCTAGTCACTCTCACTATATTGTAAATTTGTAGGATTTATATACCTCATGTAAAAGTTTAAATGTATTGAGATAGAATTACACATACTATTAAATTTTTTCACATTTATATACCTATAAAAATATAAATATATATATAGTTTTGAAATTTTTCTTCACACCTTATCATTGATGTACAATTTTGTGGAATTTCAATTTAGTTTTATTCATCTCTGTGTGGAGGGAATCATCACTTCTCTCGTATGTGGATAGAAACACAACAAGGAAACAACAAATGTCCAAAGTCATCAGAACTTGAGATTTTTGTCTATAGAAATAAGCTTACCTCAAGGAGGGGGAGTTGGGAAAGGGATGGTTGGGACCCTTGGGACACTGCTGGAGGAAGTGGGTACTCTAGTGATGAGTGTGATATTGGGACAATGTATGCATGAAAAGTATAACTAACAGTATTGAAAATCATGGTACCTCAATAAAAATTAAATAAAATAAGACTCAGGCTTTTAGCACACAAGGCATTTGCTCACCTTTGAACCCTTTCCCTGACCTAGTGAGTGTATTCTTATATTTTATAATCATTACACTTAATTGAAGTATTTACTTCCACATTAGAAAAAAAGAATGGTGGGGCTAGGAGGGCTCAGTGGGCTCCAGTGCATCTTTGCTGGCTGTAGACCCAGTTCAGCCACATTCAAACTTGACATTTCCAGGAGTAACCCCAAGCACCATCAAGTGTTACCCAAAACAAAATAAAACAAAAGCTGAAGATAGTGAAAGTACTAGAAGTATTATAACACATATAGTGGTTAAATTTTTATTGGTTAACAAAAGCAAACTGGTCTAAAAATTGTCAATATTGTCATCTCTTACCGACATGTGTCAGACTGATTATATTCATAAAGTTTCCTTTCCAGGTCCAATCTCTTCTTCTCACTATATAAAAAGAAAAATATTTTATGAATAAATTGCAGTGATAAGTACTAAGAAGTCAGATTTAGAACTAAATCTCCTTTAAGATCATAACTTTATGAGATTACTTCCAGGGACTGAAAGAAATAAAAAATGCCTGTGGGGTTTTAAACTAAAGACAAAAAAAGTTAACCATCACAAGAGAAGTGTAAATAGGCGAATGGACACCAGCAGGAAGAAAAAAAGAAAGATTTTCAAAGAAAATAGAGAATTATGGAAAGAAAAGGCTGAGAAACAAATGTATTCATTTAGCATATATTTCTTTTCGGGGCAGGGAAGAGTCACACCCAGTGGTGCTCAGGGACTATTCCTGGCAGCTGTGCAAAAAGCTGGGAATTGAACTGGGGATGGGCAAGTACCTTAATCCCTATACTACCTGGCCCTTGGTATATATTCCTTGAATTCCACAGAGCCAGGTACTGCTGCAGACCTGGAGATTAATTTGGTAATCAAGTTAATAAAGGTCCTGCCCTCAGCAAAGCCATTCCAGGAGGAAGAGAACATAATAAACAATATATGTAAAACAGAAGGTGGCCAGGCTTCTCTGAGATAGTGGTACATGGGCAACAGGGCTTTCACCAAGTCCAGGCAGGATGTTTTCACAATCTTAGATGGAACTCAGCTGGCTTGCTCTGCTCTCAACTGAGAAAGTCTCGGCAGATCCAAGTGGCAGGGAAGATGAGGTACTAAAAGGTAGACCCGGCCTTGCACTTACTTAGTGAAGATGAGGTTCCCTTCCACTATTCACATTTCTTTCTGAAGTAAATTCCTTCAAATATATTTGGTTATACACCAGTGAACCAAAATCCTTTTAATGTTGGATCATACAAGAAATCAATTCCTAGTTTGTTGAGAAGTATTCATATTGTTTTCCAAAAATGCTGGCCAGTAGACATTCCACCAGCAGTAGAAGAGCGGTTCTTTTTTTCCCCAAACCCTGGCCAACATTGTTTTTAACCTTTGTGATGTGTATCACTGTTGTGGTGTAATATCTCATTGTTGTTTTGATTTGCATTTCCCTGATGATGAATAATGCTGATCATGATTTTCTTACGCCTTTTTGGCCATCTGATCTCTTTTTTGAGGAAGTTTCTGTTCAACTTTTCCCCCATTTTCTGATGAGGTTCAGTTGTTTTGGGGGTTTCTGTTTGTTTTGTTTTTTCTTGTAAAGTTCTACTGGTGCCTTATATATCATGGATATTATAATCCTTTGTCAGATGAGTGGTGGACAAACACTTTCTCCTAGTCTGTGGGGTGTTTTTTCTTTTTTATTTCTGGTCATTATTTTTTTTATATAAGTGCAGAAGCTTCTTAGTTTGATGCAGTCCCATTTGTTTATCTTTGCATTTGTTTGCTTGGCCAGTGGTATTGAATCATTGAAGATAACTCTGGGCTCAAGGTCAGGAAGGTTCTGCCAATGTTTTCCTCAATGTAATTTAGGGATTTGGGCCTGATATCAAAGTCTTTAATTCATTTTTATTTGATCTTTGTACATGATGTTGAAAGGGTTCTGAGTTCATTTTTTTTTTAACATGTGACTGGCCAATTTTATCAGCATCATTTGTGGAAGAGACTTTGCTTACAATGCTTCACACATTTTGCCCGTGTCAAAGATTAACTATCCATATACCTATGGTGTTGGAATGTTTAACACAAAACTCTGCCATTATCAATACTGTAAATTACAGCACCTAAAATTATTTTTAAAAAGGAAGATTGAATGCCATATGAGCAGTTTTTCTAAAATTCGTGGAAGAACATTGTTCTGCCAGAAATAAAGTTAAAAAAAAAAAAAACTTGGAATTAAAAAAAAAAAGAATTCTGGGGCTGGAACAGCAGGCAAGGCACTTGCCTTGAACACAGACGACCCAGTTTCGATTCCCACATATTGGTCTCCCAATCCAGGAATGAACCTGAGCAGAGGCCAGGAGATAGCCCTGAGCACAGCTGGGTGTGGCCCAAAACACCAAAAACAAACAAAAAAACACAAAAACAAAAACAAAGAAAAGGAAAAAAAATAGAATTCTGAATGCAAAGAATGTATCAGCAAACTTAAAGACCAAATACAAGCCTGCAACAATAATGAAATGATAAATGAAAAATGATAAAATGATAAATGAAATAGTAAAGTGTCACATTAAAGAGAATATAAAATCCTTAATGCATAACAGCAAGAGAAATAATCTCCAAATGATAGAAAAACCAGAAGGAGAGGTAAAAAGGAAAGGAGAAAAATGGCTGGTGTAAGAAATAGCAATGGAAAACTTCCCTGATCTTTGGAGGGAGGTCTCTGCACAGATTCAAGAGGATCAAAGAATATCGAACACACAACAACTCAAACACAACAACACTAAGACACACAGTAATCAAAGTGGTAAAAATCAAAGAGACAGACTAAGCAGCAATAGAGAGAAAAAGTAATACAAGGGAAATAATATAAGAATGACAAGAGATCTCCCTTACTAGCAAGAAAAGAGTAGAGTGACCTATTTGAAGTACTGAATGAAAATACTTTCAACCTGAAGTCCACTCTATCCTATAAAACTATCATCAAGATTTGAGGAGAGATAAAAACCTCCTCAGACAAACAAGTGATGGAAACATTTGTTACACTTCAACCAACCCTGCATGAAAGGCCACCCATAAAAAGCAAGTGGCGAATTGCAAAAATAACTAAACCCAAAACCCACACTCAAAAAAAGAATTGAAAACACAGCCTTTTGTATAAGTAATCTCTCTAAATGTTAATGGACTAAACTCTCCTATCAAAAGGACTGAATGGTTCTTCAATGAATCAGGAAACAAAATACATGTGTTTGTTGCTTATAAAAAACACACCCAGATCCACAGAATGAATATAGAGTGAAAGAACAGAAAACAATCATACAATCCAATGTAGTTAGAAAAAAGCTGGGACAGTCATACTTATATCAGACCGAATAGCAATCAATTTAAAGAATGTAATTAGGAACAGGGATAAACACTCTTTATGGGAACAATAATTCAAGAAATTATAATTAAGTAGTACTCTTATCAACATATATGTACAAAATGAAGGGGCAGCAAAGTTTGTAAAGCTTTTGTTCACAAATCTAAACACACCAACAGAAACAAAATAGTTACGGGAGAATTCCACATTCCATTTTTTCCTTGGATCAATAGACAGTATATCAGTAAAGGTATAGGTAAAGGTAAAGGTAAAGGCCCTCCCGTTGATCGTCGATTTGCTCGAGCGGGCCCAGTAACGTCTCCATTGGAGACTTTGTTGTTACTGTGTCTGGCATATCGAATACTCTCGGTAGCTTGCCGGGCTCTCCGAGAGGGGCGGAGGAATCGAACTCGGGTCGGCCATGTTGGCCGCGTGTAAGGCGAACGCCCTACCTGCTGTGCTATCGCTCCAGCCCTCAGTAAAGGTATAAGAGCCCTAAATGGATATATACAGGGACCTTTATCCTCAAAAAAATCTAAGATACGTTTTTCTCTACTGCATATGTAACGTTCTCCAGGACAGATCACATACTAGGGCATAGCACAAACATACATAAATTTACAAATATCCTAACAAGCACCCTCTAGCCCACAATGCCATGAAAGTAGAAATTAACCACACACACACAAAAAAAAAAGATGAGGAAAACCAACACTTGTAAGCTGATCAAAATACTGCTAAATAACAACTGGATCAAAAAGGAAATCAAGGGAAAAAAATTAAAAGATTCCTTGAAACTAATGAAAATTAAAAAACAAGCTAACAGAATCTATGGGATACAGCAGAAGCTGTACTAAGGAATACATTCAAAGCAATAAAGGCAGGCCTAAGTTAGAAAAGAAGAAAAAGAAGCTCAACTAAACAAAGTAAATACGTATTTAAAAATTCTAGAAAGGAACAAGGAAGAAAATAATTAAAAAAAAACTGGAGCAGAAATTAATAATATCAATTAAGAGAGCAATACAAAGACTCACTGGAAACCAGGAACTGGTTCTTTAAAAGAATAAACAACAAAGGCACAGCAGTTCCCAGGAGATCTCTATAACCCCCTGCTGAGTCAATTTCACCAGGGCTCATCAGATGGAGTTGGTGTCCCCTCTCCACCCACATCAGATTGTAGGCTAATGTTGGTTTGCCCTTCCTCCCAGGAGGCTGGGAGCTTGTGTCTGTTGACTGCCCCTCAACCTGTCAATTACCTTTGTCTCCTGATCAGTCTCTGACTTGTAAACATTGTCTTTCTCTTCTCCTTAATGTCCTTTGCATGGTTAGTTATTTCAGAGCAACTGCTTTTTGTATGGATACAGGAAGACAGTTAAAAAGACAAGCCTGTGGCTTGGGAGTTGAGTGACTCCAGATAATATTACCTTCTGGACATCTGCTCTCTCGACTTAAGCCTTTCTAGATCCCCCAAAAGCAGGTCCTAACAAGGGACTGGATGGATCCAGGGCAAGCAGTAAGTTCTGACCTACCCTGGCATCAAAATGGGCCTGGCCAAAGTGCCCTAATGTTTAACTATAAGTTTAGATCTTGGTCATGGACAAATTCTTCATGATCCAAAAAGTAATAACTAGATTTGGACCCTGCTGGGGTTAGAAATGATTGATCTGGCCTGAGCACTATAGTCTGAGTCTGTGGTGAGATGTTACCAGGAGAGTCATCCTATAAGCCTAAAAGTGTCTATTTAGAATTAAAGTTGTTAATCAAGTTGCAGATCTAAGGAGAGGAGAAACACACCTTAAAGACTGTTTTGTCCTTGTGGGCTGCAGGTGGTCGGAAAGACTGCAAAAACATTTTCAATCACACTTCCCATGGGGAGGTGTGGTTGGGGAGGCATGGTGAGAGGATAAAAAGGAGTGGCAGGGCTGAGGGGAGAAAAGGGAGGACTGAAGGAGAGAGGGGATCGAGAGAGACAGGAGAGAAGAGAAGACAGCAGAGAGAGGGGCTGGAGGGATATCAGCGGGTAGGGTGTTTGCCT